AGTTGAACATAACAATATCTGAAGATATTGGCACAGAATCTTGGAAAACTAATAAATAAAATAACTTTAGTTTAATTCGTTTCTCCCATCCAAGTTACAGATTAGCAGCTAATTTCTATAATCGGTCACTAACCTGTAACAATATGTATAATTTTAGTGATATCACAAATTTATCAAAACGAAAGATTTGTCCCACTGTAATATATAATCACGTGTAATTCACGTGATTGAAAAATTTAACATGTGAATTTGATTTATTATGCATAACACAATTTTCCTGGATCCCTGACATATTAAAAATCTCGCATGAATCATCAAATATAAAATTCGCATAAAATCAACTCAACTTTGATTTATTATCATCTATTTACTTGACAAATCAACACCTTTCTATTGTTTATTACTTCTTAAAAGTATCGCCTGTTCTACCCAAAATGACACAAAATACCAAAGAAAAGAAAAACAAAATAGAAGAAGAATTAGAATTCGTAATCGTAATACCAAAAAAACAAAAAATCCGTGAATTTTATTATAACACTGGAACTGATGGTGAAACTTCTAGTAGAAATAAAAATGGGAAAGACGATAATTTTGTCGATACTTGTAAATCACGAACTTGGGTATAAAAAATTAATACGTAGTAAAATTTTTGTTTGAAATACAATACTTTGCAATTGATGTTAAAAGTACAACTGTATCTTACTTTAGAATAATAGAACGATGTCGAGGTCTCTTGATCTCAATAACAATAACCACGATCAACATAGAGAAATCATTAGTGTAAAAAACCACCGAAAAAAATCGCCCCAACCGGATTCTGTTGTTGACAAGTTTAATGAAACAATGGTATGCATATTGATTTTATATTAATATTTCTTTTTATAATACCTTTGTAAATTTCATTCGTTTAATCATATTAGGAAAAACAAAACCAAGCTTTCTTGAACTTTAATTTCGCGTCCAGTTCCAGTCCTGCACAACCCAAACTAAAATTCTTCCCCCGCGCCCCAGTTATTCCAATCCCATCATTTCCATCTCCACATGATCGTGTTCCCAGTCCAATTATTGAAGCCAAACATGACAAAATTTGTACAATCCCACCAGTGACAATTTCAAAAGACGAGCCATATTGGGACAATCATCCTATCGATTTTTTTTATGTGGAGAACTCTATAATGGTGTCAGGTGTACCATCGATTAATTTCGATGCTGTAATTGGATGTCAATGTGAAGATGCTAATTGTGGAAAATTTGGAGTCCAATGTGCTTGTCTCGATGATAATGAATATATGCCGTATTACTCTAATGAAGGTAGCTAATAAAGATTCTTTAATATTTTGTATATTTTGGGTCAAAATTTAATATCATTTTAATTTATAAAGGTCAATTGCTTTTGGTTCCTGGGAGGCTGATTCGTGAATGCAACTCAAAATGTAAATGTGGACCTATGTGTACCAACAGAGTAGCACAGAAAGGTCGTAACATGACACTTGACATCTTTCAAACGATTTCCAAAGGTTGGGGAGTTCGTGCGCGTAATAATATTCCCGCAAATACTTTTATCGATTTCTACACTGGCATAATAATGCCAAAAAGCGAAGCAGACGCGCTCGTACCCAAATACACTCAAAGTGGCCGCTCATACCTCTTTGACTTAGACTTTCACCAACCCGTCTTCTACACAGTTGACTCGAACTATTTCGGAAATGTGACACGATTCTTCAATCATAGTTGCGACCCGAATTTGTCTGTTTATTCGATTCTCATTGAAAGCATGGACATTAAAATGCCAAATATTGGTTTTTTCACCAGAAGGCCAGTGAAAGAAGGGGAAGAGCTTACATTTGATTATTTTGGTTTAAGACATAGAAAGAGGTCTAAGGCTTTCGATGAGTCAAGTATTGTGTTGGAGCCCGGACAAAGGTTTTGTAGATGTGGTGCAAAAGAGTGTCGAAGGATTATTAATATTTGAATACGAAATTTGGCTGTGGCTGCGTAGCAATAAGTATTTTGGATTTTCTATTTTATCTTCTGCTTGTGCTAAATTAAAATTACATTACATATAAACAAAAATAGAATAACGTATTGTTAGAAACATATATGAAATTAACAATTATGTAAAAATCAAGCCAGACATCCAGTTTGGATCCATTCTTTTGTTAACAGTTAAGGATTTTGACTAATCATGAATTTGACAATTTCAATACTAATGCCAAATCAAAATTTGCTGCTGTTTATAAAACTAAAAGATTTATTTTTTCTTGCAATAAAAATTTTAATACAAAGTTTCAGCAAGCAACATCTTTATTAATTATTATGGATCAGTGCAAAAAGATTTGTATCTCACATTAAGATTAATAAAAAATTTTTCAATATATAAGTTTTTTATTTTTTTTACTAAATAAAACTAATATATATTGAAGAATATTACAATATAAAAATTATATTATAATTCATTATTACTATCAAAGTTATTATTATCACTTTCATTATCTAATAAAGCTACATTTTTATTTGTTTCTTTATATTGTTGTATAATGAAATTTCATATTAATTATTAGTCAAAATTATATTTGATCTTATTGGATAATTTTGAAAATATATATTTATAATTTATTTAGTTAAGATCTTTATATTTACATCATTTTATATTCTCATATTTATATTATTATTTACAAATATTATATAGTTCATTTATTTATATTACATTAGATAATTTATATAAGTGAATAAGCAATTTTCTTGTAAATATCATTAGTAGTTTTAATTTAATAATTTTTTATAAGTGAAGCATGTATTTTAACTTAGAAAAGTTAGTTATTAAATTAATTAATCAAGTCAAATTCCCATAAAAATATTAATAACTCAAAAATAAACTTCTTTAATAATAATATTCTTTTAAAATTAATACAATTAAAATATTAATATAATTTTTTTATTATTTTATATTTAAGTTTTTAAGTTTTATATTAGTTTTGTTAAAATTTCTTATATATTTGTAATATTATACACACTTCTATAATATATTACCAGAAATTTCAAAAATGAATTTGTTATTTTGGAATTTGATATCTCAATATCTAGTGATCCTATTTGAACAAAGATGTTATTTTTTTGATTATATAAAACTAGTGATAATATCTTTATTCAAATAGAATTACTAGATATTGAAATATTAGATTTTAAAGTGACAGATTCATTTTTGAAATTTTCAGTAATATACTATAAGGATATGTATTTATAGTTTAATCTCTTATATATTTGTAATATCATCTTGTTAAAGTAATTTAATAAACTGAATTTATAATATTTTACTTGTCTATAAATTATTATCATAATTATTATATTAAATATATATTAAATTATAAAAAAATTTCTTAAGTTATTTTCTAGCTAACTAGTATTTAATGAATATATATCATTATTTTATTTATTTATCTTATTTTTTCTATTTGACTTGAAATATGTGTTGAGCATATAAAAAGATATAGTAAAAGTAAAAATCAAGTAAAATGATAATAATATTCTTTTATTGTTATAATTGCTTTTTTCTATAATCCAATCACTATATATAAAATTAATTTCTTTTTGAAAGTATACAAAAGCTTATTTTTAATAATTAAAAGATTTAAATATAAATCAAATTTTGTTACTTTATCTTTTATTATTATATATATACTCTCAATTAGTTAAAGTTCACAATAGTAAAAAGATATAAAAAAAATCTGGTGATTATATCACTTAGTTATTTTGATACAAGTAAATAAAATATATTTTTTATTCTTTTTTATTAGCTCAAAAAGTTTGAATCTGTATAGTGTTCCTATGAACCGAACTGAACCGGACTTTTGCCCGAGTTCGAGTTCGGTTCGAAATTCGAATCGAACTCGAA